TACTCAGTGCTTTCCCCACCCCATCCCCAGCACTGAAAACTTTTGTACTCTAGCCCATAATCCAGGATAAAGTGCCCATTTCTGCTTTGCAGGCCCCACCCTCCCTCATTCCAGTGCACCCTGCAGGGGGTGGTATCATCACCCATTTTGGGAAACACTGCCCTAGATCTTCTCACAGCTGCCACTTCTCCCCATTCAGATCCCAACACAAGACCTAGTGCGGCCTCTGCAACCACCCGCCTCTATTGGCAGCCTCTCTCCAGCACCAACACCGCCCGGGACTCCTTCCTCCCCTAGCCCGGACCTGGCCTTCTTTCTTTCTTATCTCCTTATTTTTGTCTTTTTCTCCCGCTAACATAGAAGCTTCTTGAAGGTAGAAACTTCATTTTCACTGCAGTACCTCAATTGCCTCAAACATAGCCCCGCACATATCAGCTGTTCAATGACATTGGTTGACTGACGGATAAAAATGAGTTTTTGGATTTAAAGTCAGTTTGCTTTTTAAATATAGAAAGAGGCCATTTTGAGATACCTGTACCATGAATTCAAAAGCTACAAGGAGAGGTCAGAGTGGAGGCTTCTTAGCATCAGACAGACCCTGGGGCTTGAGCCTTGCCTGCACCTCCAGGTTCCCTGGGATACAACATGGGGGCATTGGGTGGGGGTGGAGAAGGTGGTGTGTGAAGGGAGGTCTCCAATACTAACACTTCAAAGATGGGAGATGAACTCAAAGCTGAAAAGCACCTTGCACGTGGGACAAGGAAGTCCCCTCCCTGTCTTTCTCTGCCACGGCTAGAGAAGGTGGGGGAAGCACCCAGCACAGAGGAAGGACAGGTTGCCCTTGCTAAACGCGGACCAGCGCTCTAATTAGCTGTTGCAATCCTGGTGACTTTCCACAGTGGACCAGCCCAGCTCTTCTTAAACATGACCAAAGATTTCCTTTGGGAAAAGAACTTGGTAAAGTAAGTTAGCTATCTGATTCCTAATAGGAAAATTTGTAAAGGGTTCAATTGATCTCCTCCCCAACTCTCCATCTCCCCAGGAAATTAAAGAGCTAAAAAATGTCTAGCCTCAGTTAAGAGAAGTTGATGAGAGAGCTATGAAATTAATTCAGCTTGTACCTTGGTCCATTCAAGCCAAGTCCGGGAAGTGGGAGATCGAGGCCAGAGCCCCTCCCAGCAGTATTTGCCTTTGTAATTGTCCTGGCGATGCTCAGGAGGGTCTCTGATATTGGAGACTCATGGAGGACAAATCTTGACAGGCAATTAGAATAAGATTTTAATATTTTGAGTTGCACAGGGCAGTATAGTATTTTTTTTAATTTTAGAAACAACTTTAACTCACACACTTCAAAAAGCTAACATTCATCTGTAATTGCATTCTTTTATGCTTAGCTGTTTGTACTTTTGGAGCCTGGTGTCGTAGCAGGTTATGTGTTGGTCTGTTAACCACAAGGTCAGCAGTTCGAACCCACCAGCCACTTCATGGGGGAAAGATGGGGTTCCTGTAAAGATTTGCAGCCTCTGAAACCCTAAGGAGCAGTTCTGTATTATCTTATAATATCACTATGAGTCGGAATTGACTGGAAGACAGTGACATTTGTTATTTTGTTTTGTTTTTTGTACTTTCAAAAGAAAAGAGCCATCTGCTTTAACCATCAAAGTATCTAGTCAGTCACCCTACATTTATTGACGATTTGCTGTGCACCAGGCACCATGCTAGGCACAATGGTGGGCACCTAGCAGGTGTTATGGCTTCTGACCTTGGAGAAGTGGGTCGCCTGTGGGGGAAAGTGAGCTATTACAGTGCAGGGTGTGTGCTTTCCCCAAGGCTGTGGTGAAAGGAGGGCAGGCGGTCAGTAGGCATGTGGATGTAATGGGCCTCTATTTGGGGGCATTGATCTAAGTGGTGAAATAAGGTGGCCACCCCTTCTATTGTGAGAGCTTCCTTGGAATGCCACCTCAGCAGTTGGGGCATCTGAGCTGCAGTTGGCAGCCATCCAAAGGCGTGACTCCTTGGGGCCAATCGACTCTGTTCTGAGGAAAGAGCCATTTTGCTATCTCATAAAGACCCAAGTCCCCAAACCTTAGAACCAGTCTAAAGAGCTGGGTAGGAGAGGAATGAGGTAAATTGTCACATCTCCTTGGGGCAGAATTGTCTTCCGTTTTTGAAAGCAAGAGCCGGGAAGGCTTTTTAATGGCTGGAGGGCAGAATGTGCAATGGACAAAGTCTGCACTATTGCTCGAGACTCTTCACAATGCTAAAGCAACGAATGGCTCAGGGGGTTACTGAAGGGATTCTGGTCCATTTTTACTCTGGATTTTCTGAGATGCCTACAGTGAACACATTTCTTTCCTGATCAAGAAATCTCATGTGTCGTTTTAAACACCACCCCCCTTTCACTCCTGCAGCTTGGCCGGGCGAGTGAAGCACATTGTCCACCAGGCCTTCTGGGATGTCCTGGAGTCGGAGCTGAGTGCAGAGCCCCCCGAGTATGAGCACGCCATCAAACTATTTGAGGAAATCAGGGAGGCAAGTTGACAGGCTCCACGGCCACCCCACCCCTCCCCAACAAGCTGTATTCATGCCCTTTAGTGCTGGAAATGCAGACCGATTGGAAGGGTTTTCTGTGCACAGGAGGGAGGCTGGGGGAGGCTTGGAGAGGGTGCAGTGGGAGGGGCCCAGGAGCCCAGAGTGGAGGTTAAGAGAATGGACTCTGAGGGTAGATTGGCCTACAGGCTCTCCCTGTTAAAGCGTTTATCATGTGACCAGGTGGGTCCTCTGCCCTTCCTCTCCCCATTCAGATTCTTCTCTCCTTCCTGACCCCCGGCGGCAACCGGCTCCGCACCCAGATCTGTGAAGTGCTGGACACAGACCTCATCCGGCAGCAGGCACAGCACAATGCGGTTGACATCCAAGGCTTGGCCAACTACGTCATCAGCACCATGGGAAAGCTGTGTGCCCCTGCGCGCGACGACGACATCCGAGAGCTGAAGGCGACCAACAACATCGTGGAAGTGCTTCGGTGAGCACTCCGGTGCCCCCCTGCTCTTAGAATGTGTTGGGGTTCCTTTCAATGGGAAGTGTGGGTCATGGGGAATGCAGACAAGGAGCTGGTCTCCCACAGAAGTCCTTGACACTTGAAGAAGATCAAATAAGCAAGCAGTAAGGCAACCATTAGTGTAGCACTAGTGGCATAGCAGTTAAGCATTGGGCTGCTAATGACAAGGTTATTAGTTTGAAACCACCAGCTGCTCCTCAGGAAAAAGATGAGGCTTTCTCCTCCGGTGAAGAGTTGCAGTCTTAGAAACCCACAGGGGCAGTTCTGCCCTGTCCTGTAGGATCGCTGTGTGTTGAAATCAACTCAATGACAGTGGGTTGCCTTTTTAAAAGTCAACTATTTGCCGGGTATGCAGCATTTTCTGGGAAAGTGCTGAGCCCTTGGGATACAGTGAATACAGTGATACAAAGTAAAAGCACGGATGGAACCCCTGGCCCCAGGGGGTTTACAGTCTAGCGGAGGAGACAGAACTTGGACAAGGGAAGGTGCTGCTGGTAGCTGTGACACTATTGAGCTCATTGCAACCCTCGTGATGACAGGGTCGAACTGCCCAGAAGGGGTTTCTAAGCGGTAGTTTTTGCAATGCCCTGGTGGTGCAGGGAGTTAAGTGTGGGGCTCCCCACATGGTTGACAATTCGAATCACCAGTTACTCTGCTGGGGAAAAATAAGGCTGCCTGACCACATACTGAATGATACACAGGGATCAACTCCTTGGCACGAGGTCTGTCTCTCTCTTTTTTTTTTTTAACCTCAGCTTTACAGATGGGAGAAGATGGCCAGCCTTTTTCCCTTGGGGGCTGCCAAATGGGTTCGAACCTGACACCTTTCCATTTGCAGCCAAGGGCTTAACAGTTGTGCCACCAGGGCTCCTAGAGAAAAGGGTTCTCCCTCCTGTCATGGAGTCAGTTCTAAGGCAGAGCAACCCCTGGGGACTGAGAAGAACTGCCCTTTGGGGGGTTTGAGATTTTTAAACCTTCACAGGAGCAGACAGCCTCATCTGTCTCCCTCAGAGCAGCTGGTGGTTTTGAACCACCGACCTTACAGTAACAGTTCAGTGTGTAACCCACAATGCCACCCAAGGTACTAGAGGGTATAAATAGTCTTCAGCAAAGTGAACTCATCAAATCAAGCATCTGGGAAGTCTTCATTTGCTCGAGTCATGCTAGCTGCTGTAGCATCTAACCAACCCTGAGTTCTGATTGGCTTAATCAAGATAAGCTTATTTCACACTCCTGTCACAATCCAGTCGGGGGTCTTGGTCAGGTGACTTCTGCCTGTCATTCATTCACAGGCCCAGGTTCCTTCCATCTTTGGATCTGCCCTCGCCTGGGGTCCCTATGCCCTTGGCATTCAGGTGGTATATGGGAAAGAGAACAGGAGAGCCCAGGCCTTGGTGCAGTCAGTTCAGCCCAGAGATGGTCCATCCCTGTGACTATCCTTGGTCGCAGAGCCCCAGCAGGCTTGCAAGGGGATGGGTCATGCAGTTGCTGCCTGGAAACACCTTTCCCAGCTACAAATCTCTGATGGTCTGAAGAAATGGGGGTGGGGGGTAGAAAAATATGAGACTGCACGTGGTCCACATGACCCCAGAGGAAAGAGGAGGCCATCGTGCTTTCTGTCACCCAGAGGAGCTTCTCTCTTGTGTGAACGTGGCTACACTGTGACCTGACCTTCATGCAGTAGCTATGGGAAGGCACGAGAAGGAACTGGGCTGCGGGAACAGAGATGTTATCTTTGTACCTTCCCCGGCAAGCCAAGCATCCCTCTACATCAGCATCCCTCTACATCACGCCTTCCCTGCCTGTAAAATGGGCACAGGCTCTGCTCAGGCAGATTGTGGTCTTGGCAATGCAGGGGGCTGGCTTCGGGGAGTCTGAGGTAGGATATCACCTCTGTGGTGTTCACCACGGTCATTTACTGGGCAGCAATAAATGCCGCTGTGGCCGCTGTGTTCAGTATTATCACATGTATGCCTCATGTGTTAGTCTGGGTACTCTAGAGAAACAAATCCACAGAAACTCATGTCTAAGAGAGAGTTTTATGTAAAGGTTAAGTGCACATCAAGAAAACAGCCCAACCCAGTGCTGCCCAAGCCCACAAGTCCAACATTAGCCCATATGTCTGACACCAATTCACAAAGTCCTCCTCCATCTCACAAAACACACGCAATGACGCCAACTGCAGGAGGAAAGTCCAATCAGTGAATGTGTAAGCATCTCAGCGCTGGCAGGGGTCTCCACATGGCTGCTCCAGCACCCAGGGCTGCATCGGGGTAGGTCCATGTGGCTTCTCCTCAGGGATGTCTTGCAGGAAGTGAGCCTTGCCAGCTGAAGCAGGGAACTGGCTAAGGCAGCTGCACCCTGGTCCGACCATCAGAAAGCAAGAGACCCAAGAACTAGAAAGGCGAGGCTCAGCAAGCCATTTATCTCTCCACCCTTCAATTAACCCCACATGTGTTTATCAGCCAGGTTGGCACAATAATCTTTAACTATCTCAGCTCACAAAGTGGAGAAACAGGCTCAGCCAGGTGTAGTGACTTTGTGGGGGGCCACAGAGCTGTCCTTTGCAAACCCCTACTCACTGTCATAAAGTGGATGCTAACTTGGAGACCCTACAGGACAGAGAAGCGCTGCCCCTGTGGGTTTCCGAGACTGTTACTTGCTGGAGTAAAATGCCCATCTTTCTCCCAAGGAGCTTCTGGTGGTCTAGAACTGTTGGCCTTGTGGCTCACTGCCCCACTAGTAACCACTATGGCACCAGGACTCTTGGCAAACCCACAAAGCTGCCCAACTCTAAGAGGAGGTCTCTCCCCCTCTATGCTCAGGAAGATTTCAGGGCTTGCTGATACAAATCCCTCCTTGAGCGGTGCTTTCCCTGTTAAACTGCCTGTTCCTGTTCCTCCCCATCTCTCTTGTCTTTTGTGGCTGGTGATAATGGATCGGCTGGCTAGGTTCTGACTGCGAAAGTGAGTCCTCTGGATGAGTTCACTGGGAACATTTGGGGATGGGTCTCTATGAAAATGGCAGCTTGCCAAATGGTGACTGGAATTTCTAAACTCTTTACAGAATGCTTGTCTTTTTGTGGGCATAACACACACAACAGTTAGTATGTGTCAGCTTAGCTTAGTCACCTCACTAACAATTTAAATTCAAACATTTTCAGACAAATATTCCATGTCTTGGACCTCATGAGAATGGACATGGCCAATTTTATAATCCGGAGTCTGAGGCCACATCTCCAACGCCAGTTGGTGGATTATGAGAGAACCAAATTCCAGGAGATCTTAGAAGAAACTCCAAGTAAGTTCAAAACCATTGCATTTGTGTTGAAAAGAATTTTGACCTTTCTATGAATTTGTGTGTGTGTGAATCTTCTAAGATTGATAATATAAACTTACAGCTGTTTGCGATGTGCCAGGAACTGTAATAAGCATTGTTCACTTTTCCATTCATTCAGAAAAAGTTTCTTGAGCAATTGTGGTGAGCCAGGTACTGTTTAGGGCCTGTGGTTACTGCAGCGAGCCAAGCAGAATGACGTTGTGGTTTCCATGGAGCTGACATTGTAGTTGGCCTGTCAGGTAACATACTTGGAGTGCTAGAAGAACAAGAGGATAAAGGGACACATGGTGCTGGGGTGGAGGGGTGGGAGCTGGGCTTTCCCCCATGGGGTGGATGGTGACCTATGTGAAAAGTAACATGTGAACAGAGTTCTTAAAGAAATAAGGACAGGACAGACAATGGTCTAGGACAGCGGCAGTGGATGTCTAGCCTGAGGTCTGTATAAGACATGAACTCATCCATACCAGCTAACATCACACACCTCACTAAAGAGAAGCTATTTTAGCCATCACATTTTACCCCATTCCCATCGAGTCAATGCTAACTCACAGGGACCCTATAGGACAGGGTAGACCTGCCCCTGTATGTTTCCCACGTGGGCAACTCTTTACGGGAGTAGAAACCTCATCTTTCTCCAGAGGAATGGCTGATGGTTTCGAACTGCTGACCTTGTAGGCCAACTTGTAACCACTATACCACCAGGACTCCTCTGGCCATCACATTAGGGGTGAGTTAGTGAAACGTTTGATCAAATATAGCAGGTTTAATTTTTAAATCAGTAATTTTGTATGGCCCAAGGATGATATTATAAATATGTAAAAATGGCCCTGAGCCATAAAAAGGCTTCCCCAGCCCCCTGATGTAGGGACAGCAAATTCTCGTGAGAGACTTCAGTAAGCCCAGAGGCCCTGGAGCAGAAGCGTACTTGTGATGTTGGAAGAACACAAGGCAGCCAGTGTGCTGGGAGCAGAGTAAGCAAGGGGTGAGTGGAAGGGGCTGGCCGAAGGCAAAGGGCAGGGGAGCGAGCCTGGTTGGGAACAGAGAGCGCTGCAGCTGTCATTCTGAATGTCATGGAAGCCCCTGGAGAGTTCTGAATAGAGGGACATCATCTGATTTTTGTTTTTAAGGAATAATCTAGATCCCAAATAGAGATCTGATGGTATGAGACAAAAAGAGGGAGGCAAGGAGGCCAGTTAGGTGATCCTGTGGCGGCTGCAGCAAGACATGGTGGTGCTTTGGTCCTGTCCATACTGGTAGCAGGGGTGAGAAGGAGTCAGATTCTGGATGCAGGTTGCCGACAGAATAACAAGATTTGTTAGCAGGCTGGGTGAGGGTGAAGGGGAGGAGCCGAGGAGGACCGGGACTGTTCTGCCCGAGCATCTTGGGATGCATGGCGGTGCCTTTTCCTCAGATGGAGGAGCGGAGAGGGTGCTTTGGAGTCAAGTGTCCAACTGAGGACACGTGCACTCCGAGATCCTTGTTCGACGTCAGCGTGGAGATGTCGATTAGCCGGCTAGATCAGAGAAACTGAGTTCAGGGGAATGCTAGGAGCTGGAGATAGAAACCGTGATGCCATCTGCGTGCTTAAGACTACTGCAGAGAGAGCACTGTAATCAGGTGGGAGCTACGACTCGATGCCTTGGAAGGATGCTCCTACAGCAAAAGCTCTGATGAAAAGCACTAGATTGTATTAGCTCTAGAGGCTAAGGGAATAAGAGTAGTCTAGAACAAATTCCTTCCCACAAGGTGAGCTTACAATTGTGTTCATGCTCATACTTCTCTCCTTCAACCTAAGGTTCAGTGACCAGCAATCCCTTTATCATTCTCACATTGACTTGGAGATTTCCAGAGATTCAAGGATAAATTAAGCCCAGCTGTGCACATGTGTTGTGATTGCCCCACTCGCTAAATATATTCCCAGAGAAATGAAGAGTCCAGGAAGTGGAGTGTCTGGCAGCTGTTAATTATATCCTTCCAGTCACCCTGCCAAATGTTGGCCACTGTACCCTCATGTCAAAATAAGAGCTGAGCATACTCTGCAGAGCCTTGTTGGATTTATGTTTGTATGTGTGTGTGATTTTTATGAAATAATCACTTTGGAAATTAATCCAGAGAAGTACTTATAATTCCTGATTAGACTTCAGGGAAAGGTTTTATTATGCCCAAGGAGAGATTTTATATAATTGACAATTAAAATATACCCAGAAAACTTTAGGTAATGACAGGTGTATGTATTAAGTATCCATAAGGTAACAGCTAAATTGCTTATGAGTAAAATTAACAGGCCAGAAGTCATTTAAACACATTTATGTATAGCCTAATACCTTATTAGCTGAGAAAATATTTCTATGAATGCCATGTCATATGATTCTTGCAGCAATCTTATAGGACTTAAATGATATTTTTCCGAAATAAACTGCATTAGACTTGTGCCTCGCCCTCAAGGCGCTGAGGAAATGCTTTTGGGATGTTATAAAGAAGAACAAACTGATGCTCAGCAGTGACCTGGCTAAAATCCAGGGCCACACAGCTAATAAATGATGGCGCCAGAAGTGGAAGCCAGATCTCCCCAAGCCAAGTCCAGGTCCACTGGGGCCTAATGGCAAGCCAATTCTGGCTGAGTTAGCCTAAGAGAAGGTGGGTGGAAGGAAGGAGGCGGTACACAGAATTGAACCCGGGAAATATTAAGGCTCTGGGCAAGAAAAACCAAGGGAAAAGCGTAAAGGTGCCACTGTCAGGATGGCTAATTTGTCTTCCAGACACGGCCATTCTTGGATGCTTCGTTCACCATGGAGAATCCACAAGTCTATTGGTCATGTGACTTAGCCACACCAACCCAGTTCATGAAGTTGGAGCTTCTTAGCTGATACAAAATAAAACATAGAGTGAGGAAGAAATAGTGTCTCAAAATCAGGACTGAAAGAAGTAACTCAAGCAAATGTTGGTAAGGGAACAAGATTCTTCTAACTGGAAATTGGAGCACTTGGTCTATCTTCAGAGTCCCTGGGTGGTGCAGATGCTTAAGCACTTAGCTGCGGGCCCAGAGGCTCCCGGAGAGAACACCCAGATGGAGGGCAGTTGCACTCTGGCACACGGCCATGAGTCAGAGGAGTGGATGAGACAAAACTGGTTTCTGGTTTGGGTCTATATTGGGGCTCTTTTCCAGAATATTAAGGGTTCCTTTTCCCTGATGGTTTTATATGTTTTGTGACCTCCCTGCAAAATCTTGCCATAGCTCAAAATCATAAACATTTTCCCCTTTTTTCTTCTAGAAGTTTTATAACTTTAGTTATTACATGTAGTCTGTGATACATTTCAAGATAATCTTTTGTGCACGGTGTCAAAGAGGGGTCAAGATTCCTGTTTTTCCAGATGTGACTTCAACACCATTTGTGAGAAAGGGCATATCTTGTCTCTGATAAATTGGTTGAAGATGTATTTACCAATTGTACAGGGAGGCTTCATAAAGTTCATGGAAAAATTCCATTTTCTTTTTATCTCCTTTTCCCATGAACTTTTTGAAGCTCTCCCTCATATGTAGGTCTATTTCTGTACCCATCTATTTCTGTACTCATTCTGTTTTAAAAGCTTCTTTTTTTGAGATGTAATTCACATACCATAAAGTTCATACATATCTGTATGTTCCAGTGGTTCTTAGTATAGTCTGTGTATATTTCACCTCCCCCCAAAGAAACCCCGGAAGTATTAGCAGTTGTTCCTCATTTCCATTTCCCCCATTGCCTAGTAACTGCTGATCCGTTTCTGTTTCAGTAGGTTTGTGTCTTCGTATCACAGTGGAAACAGATAGTCTGTAGCTTTCTGGCTTGGTTTCTTTTACTTAGCATAATGTTTATGCCTGTTATCATATACATTAATACTTCATTCCGTTTATTGAACTTTTTCATCTGAAAATCTGTCTGCCCTTAGCCACATTATCTTGATTACTAAATTAAGTCTTGAAATTCATTTTCTTTGTTCTTCTTTTTCAAAATTGTTTCTCCTATTTTAGGTCCTTTGCATTTTCAAAGTCATTTTAAAGTTAGTCTGCACATTTCTGTTAAAAAGCTTGCTAGGATTTTTATTGGGGTTATGTTAAATTGGCTTGTGAATCATTGAATCTTCTAATAATGTAGATTTGATGTTTCTCTCCATTTAAATCTCCTTTAATTTATCTCAGCAATATTTTCTCATTTTTTACACTAAAGGACTTGCTAAGTTTTGTTAAATTTATCCCCACATATGATGCTACCATAAATGATATTTATAAAATTTTTAAGTTGCAGAATATAAAAATATAATTTTTTGTATCTGGACCTTGTAGCCTGCTACCTTGCTATATTCGCTTACTAATTCTAGTAGCTTTGGGAGGATTCTTTAGGATCTTCTGTATATATGATCATAGTGGCCACTAGTAAAGACAGTTTTACTTCTTCCTGTATGCGTTTATTCTCTTTCTTGCCTTATTGCACTGGCTGGTACCTACAGTACAATCATTGCTCCCAATCTCCTACTGGGTGTCTTGTCCCAACTTCATGAAACTACCTCTAGTTCTGTAAATCCAAATCCTAGCAGTTCTTAGTGGCTGGCTCGAATTTATCTTCCTCTGGGAAGCATTTTCTGCTCTTAGGAATTCATCCTGAACCATCCCTTCTCAACAAAACCCATCGTTGAAATTTTTATTTGCAGTAATTTTTCTTATACAGCCAAACTGTCATTCTGCTTTGGAAATTAACTGTTTTTCTAATACATCATTACATAGGAAATGCTCAAGAAATCCCCTTTCTCTCTATCTGGTTCCTGGTGGAGGGCCTGGGGTCGAAAGCTCTGCGGAGACCCAGTGGTGCAGGAGAAAGCAGCTCCAGTTTAATTCACCACACCTGGCAAAGAGAGTGGGCTTGGAGATGGACTCCGACAGTCTCTCTCAGACGGACACTGATCTGACCCTGTGTATCTGCAGCACT